GAGGTGAGGGGAGGGCAGCGCCGTTGCTGAGTGACGGGGCGCGCGGCCCCAGGCACGTGACGACGCCCGGGCGCAGCTGCGCGCGCTGGCGCAGAGCCGAAGCCGTTGCGGCGGCTGTGGACCACAGAACCCAGCATGCCCTGCGCCCCGCCCCTTGCGCTGCCCCCCAAGGCCCCGCGTCAAGCGGCACTTGCTCGCTCGCTCGCCGGCCCGGCCGCGCTGCTAGTAGACAGGGGGATGGTGCTCCGGCCTCAGGCGGTCGCCACACGCCCCACCTCCGGTCCCTGCGAGCACCTCCGCAGGGTGCAGCTTGGTCCAGGTTCCTCCCCTGCCTCCCTCCGCTCTCGCTTCACGGGAACAGGCCCCTTATGAGCCGGGTAGTCTCTAGCCCGTAGCTCCCAGTTTGGTTTGCACCGGGTTCGGGGCTAGGGCCTAGGCCCTACACAGCTGCTTGGTTTCCTCCTGGTCTGTCAAGCTGTTCCTGTGCTGGAACTGAGTTGCTCCCAAGCCTGGGCAGATGTAGGCGCTGGAAACAGGTGTGTGGGACGAGGTAGATCATCACCTATAAAGCAAATAACACTTTTTCTTCCAATTAAAAATAAACCTGAAGTTTCAAGTACAGGGGCCTTGGGCTATGCTATTCCCTTAGATTGAAGCAACACAGAACAGAACAAAGAGAGTTAAAACTCACCTGCAGGGCTGAGAGAGAGGAGCTTATTCTCGCCAGCAGAGAGCAGCATGGCAGAGCAGAGGTTAGCTTGACTGGTGGAACATCAAGCCCATGAAAAAGAAGAGCAGGTTGCTAATGCATGTGGATGAAGAGTCTAGAAATGCTGCTAGTACTGCCAAACAGGTGGTTGTAAACTTTGGGTGGAGCAGGAATCAAATAGGGTGCAAGTACACTGTCTGGATCCACCTCTGTTCCCAAGGGTGGCGATTTCAATATCAGTGCCTCTAAGATTGACTTTAGAGGCCAAAGTAAAAAAATGGCATGGTTCACAAGTGGTCACCTATGCTGGAGGCTGCAAGTGAGAGATGAACAGTGAGAAAAAAAACAAAACACTTTTCTCCCTCTCGGCATCCAATCTCTGCCTCTGTGTGACACAGGATAATACTGGGAAGATGGACCTATGATCTGACTCAATACATGTCAGTTCTTATGTTCCTATGGTATCACAGAGACTTGGTGGGGCAGCTTCAATGACTGGAATTTCAGCAGTGAGAGCTACACTCTTTTTGGAAGGACAGGATTGGGAGAAATGTGGCATCGCTTTGTATGTCAAAAATCCATATATTTGTTCCCCAGTTCAGAAGGAAGAAGGTCAGAATATATTTGAGTGAAAATAAAAGGTGAAAAATACAGCACCAATAAAATGGTGATGATTTATCATAGACCACTAAGTCAGGATGAAAGTGTGGATGAGACACTTCAAGAAAGCAACAAAATTTATCTTGAAGTTATGAGATTGTCCTGATGGGAGACTTTGATATTCCAGACACCTACTGAAAGAATCATATAGCCAAACATAAAAAGTCAAGCAAGTTCCTACCTTGTCTGGAGAACAGCATTCTTTTCCAGAAAGTTGAGGATATAATTAGGAGATCATCTATCTTGGATCTTGTCCTGACTAATAGGGAAGAATTGGTAGAGGATGCAAAGGTGAGAAAAAGATCACAATATGATACAATATATGATCCTGACACTGGGAAAGTGTAAGGTCAGCAGAACTAGGACACTGGATTTCATAAAGGCAGCTTTCAACTGACTTAAGGAGATGTTACTCATCATGTGATGGAAAGACAGACTGAAGGATAAAGGCACCCAGGACAGCTGGAAGCTTCTAAAGAGTATTGGAAGCTCAACAAGAAGCTGTTCCAACATGACAGAAGCATGAGAAGAATGGCAAGAGAGCAATCTGGCTGTACAGGGAGCTTCTAAGATGCTTCAACAGCAAAAGGGGAAAGCATACAGGCAATGGGGAAATGGGCTGATTACCAAGAAAGCATACCAGGAAATAGAAAGAATTTGCAGGAACAAAATCAAGAAGGCAATGGTAAAAATAAACTTCACCTGGTGAAGCAAGTTAAGGACAACAAAAAGACATTATAAAAATACTAGCATGACCCAGCCCTGATGGAGCCCCATTCACCGTGAACAAGGCCCTGGCTGGGCCAGGGCATGGGGCAATCAAAGCCCAGTGGGTGGTCCAGGGCCATGGTGCCAGGCAGCTAAAGGAGGGAAGAATGTGCCCTGGTTCCCCTGCAGTGCACGCAGCAGCAGGAGCTGCCTGTCCCCAGCCCTGGAGGAGCCACTGGCCTCTGACTGCCCCATTACTCAGCCCAGCCCGAGCACAGCCCACCTGTCCCCCTGCCAGAAACAGCCCGGCATAGCCCCAACCCCACTACCCCCCTCTCCATGGCCTTTCCCTCAGCAGCAGTGGTGGAACAGACTGCTGCATCCCCCACTGTCCTCCCCTCCCTGCTCGCTGTTGTTGAGCGGGGGGGGGGGCTGGCATGGACCCATGGCTCCCTCGCCCCCAACCATCTCCTCCCCTGAGCCCCGGTGCAAAGTTGTGCATGGGGCCGCCTGGGCCAGCCAATCACTACCCGCCCTCTTGGCGGTGTATGCGCAGTTGGGCCAGAGTGTTCTGGATGGACAGACAGACAGATGGACAGACAGTCTAAGGCTTTTATTATATTAGAAATTTGGCCAGAAAAGAAAAACCAAGGAAGGTATGGATCCTCAATTAAATAGGCCAAACTCTTAACAAGATGTTGGCTCCAGGAGTGGAACGAGATGCATGGGTGCATGCCTGTCACGCCCCTACACCCTGAAGTCCACCAGCAACCCCCACAGCCACGGAGCACCCCGACAACCTCCAGCACAGCCGGAGGTAAGTGGGGCCTGTGATGGGAGGGGACTAGGGTAGCTCAGCTGCGGGGAGGCAGCTGAGAGGAGCCAAGGAAGGTCTTGCCTTGACCTGGCTCCTATTTGGCCCAGCCCCCCAGGGAGCCACGTGAACAGAATGCACAAACAGGTGCGCTTCTGGGCCCAGCACGCGGGTTAGTGTGGGAGTTCACGCAGGAGGGTGAGTGGGAGGGCCCGAGGCCCTGCCAGTGAGCCCTAGGGAAGCTAGTGCCATCAGTAGCCAGATTATCAGTGCCACAATGTGGATGGGTGCACACCACACCCCAAGGGTCCCCTCAGAATCTGCGGCCCCCCTGGCACCTCAGAGGCCTCCACCCAGATGGAACCCACGGTTCCAGGCTCCACACAGATGGCTGCGGGGGTGCCTGGCACATTGCCAGGCATGTGGGACCAGGAGCATGACCACCTTCTCTTGCAGGCTTTGCTCCACTTTGGAGTCTCTGGGGTGCCAGAATGAGGAGCTCTAGGCCGCAGTCCAGAGACTACGTGCTATCAGGGATGGCAAGCATGAGATAGACTCCTACTGCCAGGCCCTTCACTCCCTGGAGGCAGAGGGTAGACCAAGGTCACCTTCCAGGACAAGGGAGGACTTGGGGATCTCCCACACTGTCCAGTCAAGGTAGTCAATGGCCCCAAGGCCTGCTGCACCAAGGTCCCCTCCCCTCTGGAGCTTTGCAACAGGTACGAACCTCTTGCAGCCCCGGTAGAGCCTGCAGAGCTGCCAGCTGCTGCTGGCAATGCAGGCTCACCCACAACTACCATTCCTGCTCTCCCTAAGGCCACTCGTGGAGTAGTCGTTGTGGGAGACTCTCTCCTGAGGGGGACTGAGGGTACAATCTGCTGCCCCGCCCCCCTAGCCCAGGTGGTCTGCTACTTCCTGGGAACCTGTATCCGGGACGTGGCCAAGAGGCTCCCTAAACTCATCCAGCCCACCGACCACTACCCTATGCTCCTTTATCCATGTGGGCATGAATGACATGGCTTGGAGCAATCCCAGCTGGGTCATGAGACACTACACAGCTTTGGCAGCGAGGTTTAAGGGGTTGGGGGCACAGGTGGTGTTTTCCTCAGTCCTCCCAGTTTTGGGCTATGGGCTGAGGAGGGAGAGGAGGATAGAGGTAGTCAACCAAAGACTGAAGCACTGGTGTCATTGTGAAGGCTTTGGCTTCTATGATCACAGTCCAGTGCCTCTCTCACCAAAGAGCAGTCTGCTGGGGAGAGAGAGCCTCCACCTCACTCCACTGGGAAAGAAGCTCTTCTCAGCCAGACTGGCTGACCTGCTCAACCGGGCTTTAAACTAAGCCTGCCGGGGGTTGGGGGGATTATCGCCACTGCTAGCCCACTGGGCAACCCTTATAAATCCAGCAGGCTAAAGCACTTAAGGGAACCCACCCCTACTCAGCCCCAGAACAATCTGTGGGGAAGGCAGGGGCTCCCAATGGGACACTTGCCTGCCTGGCCTGTACACCAATGCCAGGAGCTTGGGGAATAAACAGGAGGAACTGCTAAACAAGAATGACTACGACCTCATAGGGATAATGGAGACCTGGTGGGACTCCACCTATGACTGGGCTACAGGTATAGATGGCTATATCTTGTACAGGAGAGACTGGGCAGATAAACATGGTGGCGGTGTAGCTCTCTATGTCAAGGACAGCTACACAACCTTGCAAATTGACATTGGCACCCAGGGAGGATGACTGGAGTCCCTCTGGGTTAAAATACGTGGGGAACATGGCACAGGGGACACCATGGTAGAAGTCTACTTACAGATCTCCTAACCAGAAACAAAAGCTTAACCAGAAATTCACCAGGGAACTGGCTGAGGCTGCACATTCTTGGTACAGGGTTGTCATGGGAGATTTAACTACCTGGACATCTCATGGGAAGAGTACT